CGCTGGTCGCGCGAGTGTCGTCACATTGATGTCCGTAAAATTGAGTATCGGTGGGTGAACAATTTTCATCGCGACACGGCGAACTATTGGGTTGATGCAACAGTTTGTCCTGTTTTTTTTTATCTAAAGGTACATTTAACATTTATTTATTTCAAAATACAATCAATCAATCAAATATGTTCCGTTTTTGTTCGATGATCTGCCTATACGGGGAAAAAATAATTTGCTGATACAGCAAATTTTCTGCTATCGTAACCAAATCTATCAGCTATTATATGATATAGCAAAACGATTTGTTAAAAATATTAATTCGCTTAATTATTTTGCTAAATCTACCAATTATTTTACGCACAAATTAGCAAATTTCAGAAAACATTATTTTATTTTTTAACAGCAAATTAACGTGTTTTGAGAACAAATTCACTCGGCAGAATTTTTGTCAAATAAATTGTGTTGCTGCCACAACGAATATGTAGTAAAAACGATGGTTTCGCTACAACAGCAAAATCATTTTTCTCCGCGCATCTCTCCGATAAAAAAGAATTGCACGATTCCGCGCGCTCGTAGAAATTCTAAGATTTTTGAGCGAAGGACTGATTGAAGAAGAAAAAAAAACGGCATGAACTTTTCTAACATCAAGTCATTAGATTCAATCGCATTATGGATAGATTAACAATTTCTTCACGATGCGTAATCACTCAATGAAAAAAACTCTGCATCCAACTTTCCGACGTCGAATTGGAAAATTCTGGAGGCTTGCACGCGCGCACGAACGTTGGCTGTTGTAGAAGAGAGTATCACGTTGACGCGTCTCGTCTGTGTATGAGTGAGTGTACACGTGTGTGTGTGTGTATATGTGCATACGTCCGCACACGCCAGAATTACACGTGCGACACCGTACATCTGCTCGTCCGTTGCTTGTGTAAACAGAGATTCGCTTATCGGCAGGCTAACACGTACGTAGCGCGATATTTTGGGAGCACTCCATCTTAGTTCTTATACTACGTAAAAGAACAACGCCCCACAAGAGTCGTAAATGATACTCACGAAAGTAGTGTTCGTGACTGTCGTAAGGTAATGTCTAGTCGCGAGTTACTTCGTATTTTAAACATGTATAGACCGATTCGCGTCGCGTATTATTCGAATCAGCGAGTTCGCGTAGGAACGCTCGCTCTTAGAGCGCGACGGAATCGCCGGAGCTGTGTAATATTTCACGGATACAGTTAGTCTGTATTTTTAAACGTTAGGACATTGATGGATGATACAGAACGGAGATGTGACTGCGTTGAAACAACACCTTACGACGCTCCGCCATTTTCAACGGCGCCCCGTGTTGTTATTCCCCGTTATTCGCCGTTACAGCAGTGCTTAGAGAGAGAGGAAGAGGGAGGGAGAAAGAGAGAGAGAGGGCATATTTAAATTTTATTCATATTATTTATACTTCTATAGCTTTAAAGTTTAGGGAAAAAACCGTTTTCTTCCCCATTTTTCTTCAAATTGGATTTTTCGTTTGGTTCCTTATTTTTCTTTTTTATAATAAAAGAAAATATAACAGGTTTTAATCGAACGCACAATTTTTTAAAATGAATTTTTGTATCCTTCGGACAGACACCGAAGAAATCCGCGGAAAAAATGAGGGAGAAAATGGTTTTCTTTTTCCGAAACTTTGAAACTATATATACTTCTGTCCCTTTGTGCGACGAGAGAAACTGAGCAACATATGCTCGACGGGAGAGAAAAAAATCCGAAATGCGAAAATCTCACGAGATCTGCTGAGATATTTGACTTTTATTCCAAACGCGGGGAGAGAGGCGTCAATTGAATCGAACATCGACGAACTTCGGAGTCTTGCGACTTTATGAAGTTCTCGCTCGATCGTTTTGGAATCGAGTTTTGGGTAACCATTGACTTTTGCTGACCGTCTGACAGTTCGACCGCGATTTCCTCACTTCCATTGTGTGTCACACTTGAAGCAATCTTGACTCTGTAACTTCGTAGGATCGCCGGATTTCTAGGTAGCGGGTTAGGTTGGGTTAATGCTGACAATTGTCCCCTTCAGTCAATTATTTGCCATCTCTATGCGGAACTCTCTTCAAGGCGATTCCGCAGTCAACTTATTAGCCTAACTCTGATCGTGCCGATGTGATGTTAGAATTTTTCAACGTTAACGTGTAACTCGCTCAACGTTGTTACATCGTCGTGTCAGCGTCAACGAGAACAGGAACCGGAAGGTGGAGAACGGAGAAAGAGGGGGGGGGGAATAAAGAAAGATATAAAATAACGACATAGAGTCGAAAATGAGTCCGTGTAAAATAGCGCGAAATTTCACGATAAATTAGCGGCGGTAACTAACTCGCTGGCGCCGCGACAGAGTTGTTCCGAGGTGGTGCGAGCAGTCGGAAGTGAAGTTTGCACGGTGCGAGGCCGGCCGCGATCGAAGCACCGCGCGGCTTTGCCTGACACTGTTTATAATTTAAGGGGTTCTTGAGATTCGAGAGGCGGCTCTGCCGGAGGGTTCCGAGTGACGCTCGACGGTGGCCTAAGACGTCGCGAGGGACGGTGTCGTTCCACTGCGGTTACGGGACGTTAGGATAGCGTAGGCGAGACAGACAGAGAAGCACGAAGTCGAAGTGTCGAGGTGTCTACGTGCCTTGCCACGATTCTGATACCTTCGTGACTTCGTTACGAGAAGTACGTAATTGCCTTCGCACGTTCCAGTTCACTCAGCGGGATTGGTTACACTTTCGAGACGATTTTTCGAAAATCGCCGCGCCGGTCTGCGTCTTCGGTCCTTTTCGGATCATTTATAATTCGCGATTCGGGATTCTATTTGCGAGGATAACAGTTCGGAGAAGCAGACTTACATTTATAGATGCATATATCGCGGGGTGGAACGGTTGCGTCGCGTCTCTCTCGCATCGATGGATCCCGCGATGGATGAGAATCGCGGGAGAAAGAGAGAGAAGTCGATCTCATAACTTATATCATAAATATGTGATATGCAAATTGAACGGGTGTGGAGTTGGTTTTTATGCCCGACTTATTTCGGGACTGGAATCAGTCCTGAGAATGAAGGTGATCGAAGACAAACGACAAAAAAATCCGATTATCGTGAAAAAATGATCAACCGTTTATTGGGTAATTGAGTTGGAGTCGGCTGTGGAGATGCAATATCAGAAATTCAGAATCCCTCAACAACGATGATGCTCTTTCGGTCTGACCTGGACGTAATAAAATGTCGCGACCTGTATTCATTTTGATATACCTCAGCTAAACTCGGCAGGATTAATACGGTACATGCATTTTAATATTAGCTCGATAGTCGATCCTTCGGATGGGGAAACACGATTTTGCTCCTTCGGGTCATCAGGAATAGAGAACCAAATATAAAACTCGATAAGCGGTCTCGTATTACGCGGCTCCCTTGGTATTAAACCTGCTTATTCGCATTTATAATTAATTATCGTTGCTAATGTAGGACGTATAAGATATACCTTTCGCTCATCGGGATCCACGTATATATGTGTGTGTGCACGCGCACGCGGTAAAAAGTTCAAAAGTACGAGGACGAAAATTAGAACAGATCGAAAGAATACAGTCAAGGATGTGACGACGACGTTCGAGGGGTTATTCCTCCCGAGGCGTCGCCTGCGGATTCGCCGTTGTTTGTCGAAAACTTGGGTTTGTTTAAAAGCTAAAGAGGCGGAATATATATGGAAAAAACGTGAGAGACGCTCTCCTCGCGCGGTTAGAGAACGACGTCGCGTGCGCGCGGAACCATATTACACGCCTCTCGCGGAAACGAGGACCGTGGAAAAGGCCGCTTTAAGGGCCATAAAACATTTGTTTCCCCTCCCCGCGGCCGCACTCGCCCCGGAGTGGTATATTGCGTTCGCCCGCGAGACCGCGGGATTTTGAATTGAATTTGAAATCAGGGGGCCCGATTTTATGGCGGCCGGGTGTCAAACGTCGAAGTGTCGCGCCCGGCGCCGGCTTATCGGTGGGAAACTCCGGGATCCCGGGGGCGAAAGCTCCGCAGGACCGTTATCGGTTTACTCCCGCGTTCTTAGGTTACGCGATACAGGATGCGGAGTCCGGACCGTTCAATTCCGTTTTCCATTTTGGATCCCGCGCGGCCGAGGGCGGGAAAAAAGCACGGAGGGGCGCGCGCGGAGTCACTGTTTCGTTTTATCGTCTCTCCGCCGCTCCCCGACGATCGCGCGAGAGACGATCGACGGTACTTGTACCTGTGGCTCAGAGGTTCGCAATCGTCGCCGCTCGACTCGTCGCGAGGAATATCGCTTTCTCGTTGCCTCACTCGCGATATTTATTTCGTGCGGTCTTGCGCATCTTGAGATAATCCTTCGTCTCGGGGGATTATTTTCCGCATAATTATGCGACAGCGTCGAATTGCGAAGTTTCACTTGGTATCCGCCCGACTCTCGAGTTTATAACATAGAGGCTGCTAATAAAAAAAAAAAAAATGTTACGCGAGCGTAACATGCGTCCACGCAGATTAACATCTTCAGTTTTATCTACTGTATAAACAGCTGTGGTGATGGCTATATTTAGAGAGATCGGGGGATATCGTATTTTGTTATCGTTCGATAAAAGTGTTGTATAAAAGTTCGTCGCTCAAATTGGTACGATCCGATTCCAGCCGAATTCCGTCTTCCGAGCGATCGCCGTATAACTAACATGACTCGGTACACGACGGCGCGGTACAATTAACGCGACGGAAATTGACACGGACAGACTCGTCTCGCATAATCTCGAATATTCTGAAATGTTTTCAGCGCTCGAAAGTAGGCCCGAGATGTGACTTTCGGGAAATGAATCCCATGCGCAATTTATCATCGCGCGTGACGTAGTGTCGACTTTTGCTTACAAGCAGAATTCTCCGATCATCGCGTGTGTCCGAGACGCGTCGGTACGGCGAGAAAAAATAAATATTGCATGCGGTAATAAATCGAGGTCGTACCCTAAGATTAATTCCTTACCTGATCGCTGTCTTGTTGATCTTGGCCGTAAGTGGGAGTATCACCATTAGGGGTGGTGGCGGCGGAGGGTCGCTGTGACGTTGACAAGTTGATCGCGCCGTCTCCGTCTGTGTCATGATCCATTATGCCATCGTCCTGAAATCACGATCATCGTTACGTCAGTATCCTTCTCGTGCATCGAGCCCGATTATAAATGGCGCGCACTTCTCGAGGCGCGTTGGCGCGCCTATCGCTGCTTTTCTCATTGTCGGCTCCAACACCGAATTTCTTTCATCGTTATTAATCAATAATTTGTTTGCCGAATTGATTATCACGCATCCGTCAAATAATAATCGTGTATCTCGCCTTGTATTTCTCTGTTTGTAGAATGATATATTCGAAATATTTGTAAAGCGATTATATGTGTGTGAAAGGGAAACTCTGGGGAATCCCGAGATGACGATCACACAGAGAGCGCGATAATCGTGACGAGATCTCGAGACATGCGCTTTTCTTATCCGACACTGCCCTCGCGAGAGAGCCACGATTTTAGATCGAAGTCTGACGCACGTGATTCCACCCACTCGACGCAAGAGAAACAATGTTTCGTGTGGTTACGGAAAGCTAATAATATAGACTTTCCCGGAAATGCTTAGAATCATGTAAATTCACGCCAAGATTCTGCTTTCTATCATAGACGATGTGTAATAGACAACGCACACACCTCTCTCCGAGATTGTCGTAAATATTACGGAACATCTCGCGATAGTTTAGCCATATATAAATAATTAATAAATTCCATTTCGCACGGTACTCGCGCTCCACGCGAGGTTTGTAAAGCGCGTATATTTCATGAAACACCCAGAGTAAACATACGCGCTAGGATATTTCAAAAGTTGGAATTTTCACGCGAGTTTGCGCGAAAGGTACATTCGCCGCTCGACGGGGATGTAAAAATGCCTTCCAAATTATTATATTACGTCCGGCGTGAGTGTGCGCGCGAATTGGAGTCCGAATTAAATCACCATTAACATGTTAATTACTCAAGAAAAATTAGTCACGCAATATTCCTCGGTGCATCTCGCGTCGCTAAATCGGAAAACATCAATTTCTCTAGAACGGGATAATTATGCGCGACACGTAACCCGTTAATTAAACATCAGCCGGTCATTTCGCGTTCCGCGGCTAGACGAGCGCTCGTAAAAAAAAAACCTTGTAAAAAAAAGATACGTAATCAAGCGACGCATAATTAATGCCCATTCACATCGCCGGTTATTCCGCGCTGAAAGTCAGCCCGAGTAATATCACGTCCCGCCTAGAGACACCCGAGGCAATCGCTTAATTAATTCTTAATTAGCGTACATCGCGCCGAGATTCGATCAAAATTCCTTACGTCGGATGGTCCGGCTGTGGTCCGCTGGCGGCCACGTCGCAGTCCATTGAAGTCGCGATACACTTTCCAGCAAGAAGAGAGAATCCGTCGCGTTTCCGGCGTCACGACGAGACGCACCGCTGTCCAAAATTTCACCCGTCTAACGGCACTTCCGGTCCCGAAGGCGCGACCGCGCGTAAACACTCGCTCTTACGTCCACCGTAAACATTCTACGCGCGCGCGCGCGCACACACACACACACACATACACACACGCGCGCACGGAAATCCTGCGGCACCGGAAGTCGCCTCCCCGATTGTCTCACAGAAGCACCGGGCACACACGTTCCTCGCACTGCATCCAGAAATCGAAAGCGGCACTTTGAACTTTTCCCCCGCGGAACCCCGCAGCCAAGTCACTCGTGACTGAAGGGGAGGGGGGGGGGGGGAGGGGCAAGTCGAAAACGCACCCCCGGCAAACGGAGCGTGACGCAAGAGAGACGGTGTCAAGAGAGAGAAGACAAAGAGAGAAAGGGAGAGGAAAAAGGGAAAAAGAAAATGAAGAAGAAGAAGGTGAACGCGCGTCGGATTCGCGATGTAGACGAAAGCCCAACGTTAGCGTGCCGAGCGAGTAGAGCGAGGACTAAACACTAAAAGCGGCACAGGCATACCAAGCAGCCCGACCGGCGGGGCTGTTGCTTATTGTGTAAATATAAACAAATATAGTTGAAACCAACCAACAGGCCTGCTTTCAGCTCCCCCACCCCTCACCCTCCCGTTGCCGAGACCTCCGCTCATGTGTGTGCCCTACCTTCTTCTTCTCCGTGTCCCCCTCCTCCTGCTCTCGCCCCCCCTACCCCTCTACGCGGCACGTCCAAAGACTTCTTCTCTCCTCGTCCCGCTCAGGCATCCTCCCTTCGGTACGTCCCTGACCCCACTGCCGGCAGGCAACCACTACATCATACGCGGCACATTGTGGCGTGCCTCGCCTTACCATATGTTCGCCTCTCTCTCTCTCTCTCTCTGGCGCGCGCTCTATTCATCGCCTTCCCTCTCTCTCTCTCTCTCTGTGCCCGCGCATCACACATCGGCGACTCGTCACACACTGTCGCCGAAGTCGGTGGGATTGCGTGCCAGCGCGAGACTCTGAGAGAGGCTTTTGGGGTTCCCGTTCTTTTTTTCTTTCTTCATCTTTTTTTGTACGTGCGACGCGGATTGTAGGAGGAAGGAAGAGCGGTCGAAGTGCGTTTCTCCAGAATACTTTAGGCCGTGCCGTGTTGTGGGAGTGACCGTAATTGTTCGGTACCGGCTTACGCGCCGAAGTCGCATTGTCGATCGATCGGACCGTAAAACTTTCCCGGGATGCTCTTGGAATGCAAATCTCAAGCAATCCGCGTGTCGCAATCGGGTTGTTACCGCGGAGATTTTCGATTCTTCCGATCGGTCGGAGCCCGAATCTTTCTGTGAGGAAACCTTAAGAGTGAAGAAATTGCGGAGGAAGTGCACTTTGAGGATATTCTTGGTGTGCGTACAGCGGCCGTCGATGGTTCGCTTAGGCGGACTTTCGAGGTATATAAAATGCAGATTTGGCGAATGAAGCAGTAACAGAAGTAGCTTGTTCACCTGCCAAATTCGCATTTTATTTAGCTGGCCGCTGCAACAACGCGCTGTTAGATTTCCTTCCCGAAGGATTGCACGCGCAAATGGCCTCACCCGTCGAATCCGTCAAGTCGTTTTCGCGCACATGTCTTTCGGCTGCTATTTCCCCAAGTGTTGAACTGGTGTACTCGCGCGCTCTAAACTAATACGGAGCCATAAACTCTACGAACTATGTTTCACACCTAGATAGCTTTTAACGATGCGTTCTCCCGCGAAGTAACGACGCATTATATGCCGTTCGGGAATAACGTCTTAATGCACCTCGCGATAAGCACTTCACGACTTCATCCCGGGTTTCGCGAAAAGAAGCGAAGTGGACGGTGCAGGTATGGAAATTCTATTCTTTAGTTAGCTAAGTATATATACGCGCGCGAGGCGGTACACACGAGCGATAAATACGCGTGTACACACGTGTTGCCTGACGCAACCTGAACCACCGGCTCGAGTTTGTACAGGCGAGCCGGAAATGGGGGACAAAATGTTCCTCGAAACGACGTGTCCTTAAATATTCCTTTCACTCGTGCCTCAGCTCCTCGACAATCGCACGATGTAGAGCTCGATTTCCCGCTGTGCGATTCCGAAGACAAAAACGCGCGGTACTCGGATTTCGAATTATTACATTGCACGCGCTCGTTCGGCCGTCCTTATTATTATACGCCGACGTCGTCGAAGAATAGACTTTCATTTCAGTTTCGATGAACTATTATGAAGCTGTACGGAATATGCGGAAAAATATGCTCGCACGAAGAGCGCTTTGTGAGCTGAAAATTGGATACGACGCGATACATGTTTCGGTTTAGCATGACGTGTCTATGCGTGTTCAGCTGAATAATAATAAAGAAAAGTATATTTATAATTCTACGAAAGATACTGAAAACTCATTATTAAAATGGTGTAGACGGTGTCTACAATCCCTGTCTCTACAGTACGTACAGTTTCTATGAAACATAAATCAGTTATATGGTACCGTCTAAATTACAAAAGCAAAGTTTTGCGGCCGGGTCATTTAGTTATTCTCGGAAGGAATTTTACGCTGACGCCAGCGATATTACGATGAATTTGTTTGCGTATATTAATACACAGTTACATAATCATGTTCGCCGTTGCACGTAACCGTTTCACGAAATTAAAGTACACGCCGGCTATGTCGGGAACTATTTCGTTGAAATCGGCGGATGTATAACGACCGTTTCGAAACTCCCGCGAAATTGAATCGCGAAGATGCCGTCGTACTTATCGTCAGGGTTTCGCCGAAAAATTTAGAACAAAATTCCATCCGGGGTGAGCGCCGATTACCCGAATAAATAACGCAGAGCCGAAGTCGAACTCTTTGGCAACGACTAAGCCGCGCGAATTCCTGCGAAAATCCGGCGCTCACCGTAACGCGAAATTTCCACCGCATTTTCTGCGACGTGCTTCATTTCTTCGACTCGCGCACATTCTGCGCGTGTGTTCTCGGGTTTAGAGACCGCGTGCGGAATATAAAAATAAATTCTGCAAAATTCCTGGGCGGACGGTTAACCGCGCAAACGGATATAGCCGGAATTACGCTTCGGTACATAAAGTTCTTATTAAGCGGGCCGTAAAGGTGGCTTAACAACGAAAGTACGATACAACCGCGCCTTTCTCTCTTTCTATCTCTCTCGATACAATATTTATACATATATATATATATATATACATATGTGTACATATATTTTTCTCTTTATATTATACGTTAATGACTTCATTGGTATAACACAGTGTTATATATTATTATTGCATCAAACGTTCTTAGAAGGCTCACTTTAGAAAATGTCAATAAACGCTTTATCTCTCTCTCTCTTTAAACGCGGAACTTCATGAAAAAGTTGGCGAGCGACTTTATTAGATAGGCGGTACCGATCCAGCTGTCTGGTAAGCATTCGAGACGAGTTCACTGCCTTAACGGTCCAGTCGAAGATCTACATGTCGATGGCGGCGATGAGGAGGAACCATGAGGGGGAAGCAAGAGTCCCATCGTCAGTCCTATGACAACACAACTGAAGGCAAAAATAGGCGCAGCCGGCTCAGCCAGCTTATGTACGCCGTATGTACTAAATATGTATTTATTAAGTAAACAACGGTGGGTCTGCGTTCGCCGGGGT